GGCTAGGGGTGGGGACACTGCCTGCGGGTGAGGGATGGGGCTGGGGAGGGCCCCAGCATCTGCAGCCCCGCCCCGGTGCGCGTGCTGCTGCGGGAAGCGGAGAGCCTGCGCGGGCACTACGCCGGGCGGGCCAAGCGCATCGACACCCTATCCCGAGCTGTCTTCCCCTTCACCTTCCTAGTCTTCAACATCTTCTACTGGGTCGTCTACAAAGTGCTGCGCTCGGAGGACATCCACTTGGTGCCCTGAGGCCTGGAAAAGTACGACTGCCTCTCAGTATAACCCCCAAGGGCACCTGGGTGTCGCGAGTTCAGCCAGAACCACATTTCCCTCTGTCGCAGCACAGCAGCACAGCTGGGCTGGGCCATGGAGCCTGGATATGTGGCAACCACCGTGTCTCTTCAGATGCAGAGGCACTGAGGGTGGGATCGGCAACTCCTGTGGTCAGCTGGAGAGAGGGACCCCTCCTGCCTCCTGCATGGTGTCACCCCCAGGTACTCAGAGATGCTGTGCTGCCAGGACACAGGGGAACCCCTTGTACTTTGGGATGCTGCACAACTATTGGCTAGGGAACACCACCTTAGCGCCAAACACACCCCATCTCTCTGCATCTTCCATGTCAGGCTACTGCTTCTCCAGGCTGCATCACTGAGCCATGGGCCATGAGCAGCCAGGTGAGAGGCTGCAGTTCTCTCTGCTCCCCTGGGCCAGAGCTTGGGTGCAGGAAACAGCAAGGAGCACCCTTGCTTGTGCCTGGACTGTGGGGCATGCTGGCTATAGCCCCACAGCTCCCCGACCAGCCAGCAACACACAGCAAAGTGTCAGGTCAGGGACGCTTCTCTCCCTGCAGAGACTGGAGCTGCCCATGATGCCCGCAGCCACAGGCCAGACTGCAGCAGGGACACAGGGCAGGAGTCTCCACTTCCTCCAAGGAAACGCCAGCCCTGGGGCAGGCAGCAGGCAAGCCTGGTCCCAGTGATGGTGAAGGGGCACAGAGGGCCACTACAGCTGCAGATGGGAGCCGCTGGGCACCGGGGAGATGGCAGTGCACTGCCTGCAGGGGACGGCCCACAGCCCATCTTCTGAAAAAGATTTTTCAGGGTAAAAGTAGCCAGATCAGCTTGGCCAAGCACTTCACAGGAATGGTGGCATCCTCAGACTGCTGCGTTCTCATGGCACCAGTGTCAGCAGAGAGCCAGAGGTGAAAAACGGTCTGTTTCCTGGCTTTCTCCCCACCCAGGCACAGTGTCCTCCAGGCCAGCTCACCCCTCCTGCTCCTCCTCTGGAGAGGAGAGCATCCAAAACTTCAACAGGACAAGCTCAGCAAGGCTTCCAGCCATCCAGACTTGGATATCCTCTGTATTTAGCAGGAAATAAAAGCAGTAGGTGATGTTTATGTAGGTCCTACAGAGATAAATGTGTTGATGCTCTCTTTTCCCCCTGCTCACCGCCAGCCCAGGGGACTCGCAGCCCAGTGGGGTCTGTCCTGCCACGGCCCCAGGTGCAGGAGAAGGCCCAGGGTCTTCCAGACAGGGCAGAGGACGGAAATGGGATGTGTCCCTTTCCTTGGAGGCTATGGTGCCACCATGGCATGACGAGAGCCCCAGTGAGTCACCTGTCATGGCCAAAGGGACCCTGCAAGAGTGGGAGGCCAGCACTACCTGCTGAAGCCAGACACAGGCAGAAACCCCCACCACGGCCCGTGGCCCTGCTCCTTGGGTGAGCATCACCCACCCCCTCACACAACTCACCAGAAGCACTCGCCTGCACTCCCTGCCCCCAGCCCAGCCCCCCTAAGCCCTCAGAGTGCTCAGCTCCACACATCCATTTCACACACGGGGCAAGTGGAGAAGAACCAGCCCCAGGCCATGCGCAGGACCCACCAGGATGGGCTGAGCCAGCTCCAGCCCACTGCCATCACCATACATGCTTTTGCCACTGTGGGGTCCCCGTGGGGCCCCACCATATGTCCAGGCTAGGCTTTCAAGAGTTGTTTTTGGGGAGACCCTGTTTGTAGGCAGAGGAAGAGGTGCACCTCTTCTTCTTGGCTTGCCTGGCACCTGACCTCTGAGGCAGCACCAAACGGGGAGGTGCTAGTGCCCGGGCAGCATCTACAAGTAATGGGTGGCCAAGCCACCCTCTAGCAGTGGGGGATTTTTAAAGAGCATCAATATTCCTACGCAAATAAAGCCCTTCTGGGATTTTCACTGCTGTGCTGGGGGGTTGTCTCTGCCATGGAGGTGGTGATATAATTGGTGGTGACTCTCAGGTTTCATCTCCTGCACAGGAGATTCCAGCAGGACTGGGCAAGAACCCCACAACGAGCTCCCAGCCCCAAACCCCATCACTCTCCTCCCCTCACCAGCTTTGTGGAGTGCCACAAAGGGTAGTCACCCCAGTTCCTTTCCACCCCATCCAGGCTTGGCCAGGGGACAGGCCCAAGATGAGGCAGATGTGGGTCCATGGGGTGGGTCTCCAGCTCTGCACTGGAGCTCAGGCATCAGAACACGGGCAGTCATTCCAGCGGGTGAGCCTCCCTGCACGGCCCTTTCGCGCTGACTTGCTGGGCGGGTGCCAGCCTTACAGAGCTGCCAGCTGTCCTGGGGGGCTTACGCCAGCCGCGCAGTGCCATCCGGGGCTGGCGCTTTTGTCCCCAGCTGGTGCAAGGGCAGGCAGAGCCTGCAGCTGAGGGTCAAACACCCAAGCAAACATCAATCTCCCTCTGTCCTCCTGGCCAAGTTTCACAGATCGGCTCTGTTGGAACCTTGCAGCCTCATCGCCTGCCTGGACCTAGAAGGGTCTTCTACAGCAGGGAGGAGAGAAAGTGAGGTGTACCCACACCGTTTTGGTGCTGAGGTTGTTCCTCAGATGGTACAAACCAAACCCCCCAGAGGTCTTGCTCCTGTCACCACTAAAAACCTGGAGAGGATGCAACCAAGGGGAGAGACAGGAACCGTTTTATGCCAGTGTGGTGTGCCCAGTTCCTTCACTCCCTGCTCTCCTTTCCCTCCCTTGCTGAAAGTCAGGTCTGAGCAGTTGGCATCTGTTTGGATATAAGCACTGTAGCCAGCCCTAAGCCACCCATCTCCAGGAACCAGTACATCCCAGAAAAATGAAAATGGTAAAAACCCAGCACATCCTTCCTAAGCTAAAGACCCAGAGTCCCATGTGCAGGTGGGAGCAAGGTGAAAGGACCTTGCTGCTGGCACCACATTAGCAAAGGCATAAGGGGGGCACTGCTACATGGCCCCACAGTTTGTGTGTCCCTGGGAGCAGTTTCAGGGTCAGAAACAGCAGCCTCTGGTCCTCCCAGCATTCCAGGTTGGACTGAGAGCTGCTGGGACACCCAGACCGCTGCACAGCTCACTGTCCTCCAGCACACAGCTCCCGTGGGTCCTTCACGTCTTGAGGACAGCAGCAGTGCCCAGGAAGGGGGACTGAGCCCCGCACCCTCCCACAGGCCGCAGGGTGGCCAGGGCCAGCTCAGTTAGCTCCATCCCCCAGCAAAGCCTTCAGACTGGCCAGTTTCCCATTTCCTGCCGAGGCTGTGTGTCCGGGTGTACGCCCCAGCCACCGCGGGGAGCAGCTGTGGGCTCGGGACCAACAGCCACGGCCAAGTTAATTGCTGGTTTAAACGGAACTTAATGGAGTTACACCAGGTTAACAGGACTCCCAGACAATGAAATGACCATCATCAGCACTGACAGCTTCCCAACAGCCTGAGAACAGCACGCCCAGGGCTGGGTGGCCACAGGCGCACACAGGTTTGGGGCAGCACAGCCTCTTGCCAGCCCCAAGGGCTCCCTGGGGCATCTGTGTAGGACTGAAGGAACACGCCGGTGGCCAGGCACTGTACCAGCATGCCAGCCAGGCCCCTGCTCCACCAAACACAGAGGGGCCAATCCTGCCGGAGCCAAGCTCTGCCGCTGTGCACCCCTTCCTCCTGCCTCCCTCACCCACAGCCTGGAGTTGTCTTGGGGCAACACCAGCTGCCAGAGGTTTAGCAAACCATCCTGTTCAGGTGGACTGATGCCCACAGGATAGCATGTTCCACGCTGTTTGCTTCCCATACACTGGGTTTGGAACCAGGTGAGTTCAGTGCAGCAAGGACAGGTGACAGCTCTGATGAATCTCTGAGTGCTCAGCACCTTTTGCACATTGCTCCAAAGTCAGCCATTCAGTCATGAGCAGGCCAGGACCTCTCTATAATAATAGATGGGGAAGCTGAGGCACAAGGAATGTACCAGGAGCCGGACTGGCAGCACACCCTGCTGGGATCTGGCCATGCCACAGTGCATGGGGCCTTGCAGGACTGCAGACCTGCTGTGGACAGACTCCTGGGGGCAGGATCCTTCCACCCCAGGGAAGGTCCAGGTGCAGCATGCTCAGGCACCCCAGCACTCAGCACAGCTCTGCCAGCAGTGCCCCCCTGACAGAGAAGCCCCAGGAACACAGGGGCACTTTGGCCCCCAGCACACCCCTGCCATCTAAGCTGCAGCATCACACCACAGTCTGTCACCTCCACCGTTCAGAGGGGTTTTGCCAGTGCCCTGCCAAACCCCACATCCCCACGGCCACATCCACACCCCCAGGACTGCTTTGGGACCAGGCTGCCCCGCTCAGGGGAAGAGAGTCAGTACGCACAGGTATGAGTGTCAGCGTGCCACGGACAGGCACAACACCTGGGAAGGGGCAGCAAGGGAGGGCAGGAGCCCAGAGACAAGCAGGGATCGGCCCTGCAGTGCTCCCAAGCCCTGGGAATATGGGCTCACTGCCCAGCTCTGGGCTGTGGTTCTGCACAAGAAAAAAACAAAGCAATGAGGTTTTCCAGCCCCAAAAGTGGCTTGTTTTGTCCGACTTTGAGAAGCCTATGCGCTTCAGTCCCTCAAGGGGCAGGGGGAGGACCACAGCCCTGAAACAAGGAGCAATTATCAAAACACTGGATCTGAAGAGCTTTTGTTCCTTGGATGCACCAGAGCAGGGATGGGAGGACAGCTAGGGAGATGCCTCGATGACTCCGCGCACCAACGACACCCAGAGCCCAGCATCAGGATAGCCCCAGCTCTGCAGCAGTCCCATCCTGCTCCCCTCCCCCTCTTGTGGCAGGGCCCACAAGAGCTCCAGCTCTTGCTGGGGCTGGCCCAGCCCTGGGGTAGATGCATAGGAGGGAAGAATTGGCTTCTTGTGTCCCATTTCCCACTGCTGCCTTGCCAGTGAGAGCCTCCATGACTCCCTGACAGGCCAGACAT